TCTCCTTCCAGAATAACACATAACTGATTCTAACAGAGAAATCAGTTTATATCAGCTTTTTTAGGTATTAAAATGCAACAATGGTCTTGAATTCTATATCTCCATCTTATATTCATCTTTTTCTTTTTAATCACCTAGAAAAAGCTTTGGTCATCAAGACTACAAATTTCAAACATTTCATTAACCTCATATGCAAATAAGCACAAATCTCAGGAATATATCATTTGGTTTACTTATTTTCTTAAATTGTCTTTCTCCCCAAACGCCTTTTTACCAATGCCAAAACACCTGGGTATGGAAAACATACAAGGTCAAACAAGTTCACTATCAGAATACAGGAGCAATATGAAAACATTTATTGGGAATTAAATTAATGACCTAAACCTTAGTGCAGTTAAAATGTAAAGGGTCACCTTATATTTTAACAATTTTTAATAAAACAATTAATAGTTCATAAAATTACCTTTGTAATACTTGTTTCCTTTAAAAGATTCAACAGCCAGGAATTAAAAGCTTTCCCACTCGAATAACCTTCACGTCCACTGCAATGTCTTAAATATTTTTACTAATTGTTAAAATCCTATGATTATTGTACAGTTTAAGTATCAAAAATCCTTCCTAAACTCTACTACCAGGAGCCTCCTGATAAGGACAGCTAAGATAGGTAAGCCTATCATGAAACAAAATGAAATAGAATTTAAGGTAATCATTTAAGACCAGGTACTCCATTAAAATGGTCCTTATGAAAGATTTTTCATCTTGAGGTACAAGGAGTAGATAATTACTGACACTAAAGAACACAGGGCTCCTTTTATCTAATGATCTCTTACCCCAAAATTATTTATTAAAATAGGTCATCCAACTTATGCTGACGCTGGATCTAGAAACTGCAATTATTTTGCAATCTGTTTTTATCCTTGCTTGAAAGATCCTGAAAAACTACACACATACACACACACACACACACACACACACACACAGAGATATATAGTTGTTTATACATCTGCTGTTGAACTGACTTTCTCATTCACATCATCTGAGCCAATAGGTCTTTTATGAAACAGCTTTAAACTTCCACAAACTATATCTATTGCTCATTAATTCAAAATGTCAAACAACCTGCACTCCTGACAGTGTAAGGCTATACTGGCACAGAGAAAACCAACAAGTGATATTACTTAGACCAGGTCTATTTTTAGTAGTGGCTTCTTTTTCTACAACCTAATATCGCTATCAAAACATAAGTAAATGAGTTAAAATCATCACAAAACAGTCATTATGCTTTCAACTGTTTCAAAGTACACAGAACTAAACATGGCTAAAGAAAACATTCAGATTATCTCCTACTCTGAGTCCTTGCTAGCCCAAGGTAGAAAACGGATTTTGTAACAGGTTTTTTTTTTAAATTTAGTGTCATTGAACTTGTCAATTTAGACTTGTTCAAATAAATTGCTTCAGAGATTTTATATTTAAACTTTAAATAGTAAGAAAACTGATGCAAAAATCACTTTCAATTTATTCTCATTAACACTACAGTAAAACATGCAATTGGATTGGATTACTTATTTGCTGCATGTGCAGAGAATGTTAATTAGCTTTAAAATGAAATATATTTAATATATAAATATATACACATAGATTTAACATTCAGTCCACTTCTTATTACTTAATACATAGGAAAAAATCTATCATTCTTAATTCAATTCAAGAAGGTATTGTAATTCACATCTGCAATTGCTGAAAGCTATCTGATATTCATGGCAATTTCTAAAGATTATCTTCAGGAATATAATCAGAAAAGACTGATTACAATTATAAAATATCAATGAATTAGTTGAATTTTTTTTTCATTTCTCTGCTACTACAAAAATGTATATCATATAACTTGATTACAAAACTAAAAAAGATCTGAGGAGAACATACATGATCAAAATCCTCTTGGTTAAAAGGTATGTAATTTTATATTTTTTTCTAATTTTAATTTATTAATGGGGTAGAATCTCACCGGAAAAGGGAAAATGTTGTCAGCTCTGTTCAAACTCTCTTCCATCCAAGATTTGGGAGCAAAAGCCGAGCTGGGCCGAGCATATTTCTGCAGCTGAATATGATTGCTTGCAAAGTTTTTCTTCAGGGGTGAAATGGAGTTGAGAGGTGTTATTCCTCCACTGAGTCCTCTGCGGTGATCTCGGCCTTGGGAGCCTCCTCCCCAGCCACCATATCCTCCACCACCGGGGCTCCATGAAGAAGATGGCGTAGGTGAAGGACTTTGGTAGCTGCTCCACGGGGAGGGCGGTTTGTTTAGATTATTGGCCAGATGAGGCAGCTGATTAAAAGCAGCATTTCGGTGTGTAAATGGAGGTGGATGAGGACTAGCAGGAGACCTCCTCTGCTGCTGATGCTGATTGTGATGATGTTGAAAATGAGGATGATGAGGGTGGTGCTGAGACAGGGGTCCTATCTGAGGGGAAAAGCTGCCTCCAAAGCCAGGGCTGACGTGATGCGGAAAATTTTGAAACAGCAGAGCACCATTATTAGCTGAAGCAGCAGGGACACCACCCTGGTGAAAAAAACTCGCATCTTCATTGATTATTGTGGAGGAAGAAGGAGCAATAGCTGCTGACCAGTTACTGAAACCAGTAAGAGAGGATGCACTGGATGTTAAGGGCTGAGTTGAAGTCCCTAACCCTGCAGCCTCTTGGTAGTCAAATCCTGTCAACACTGGTGATTCTATTCTTATTTTTTCCTTCCCACTGCCACTTTCTGAAGAGCTGTCTCCTTGATTTTCTTCAGATTTGGCTTTCTCGGGTTCAGGCAGTATCCCTGCTTCCTGACCTTGACTGGGGGAAAGCTGCTGCTTTTCTAGAGAATCTTGCTGCTCCTGTTGCTGTTGCTGAGTTTTAGATTTTTCTGACCCCAGAATCTCATCCTGAATGTTATGGGCAGCTGGAGCAGGAAAGAGCCAAGCTGACCCAGCATTACTGCCATTGGCAGCTGTGTTATTATTTATAAAAGCAGCAGGGCTGGGGGTTGCATTTTGATGATGGTGTGGAGGCTGCAGATGTGGATGAAATCTGACTGGAAAAGCTGATTTATTCCCAGTATTGTTTTGCACCAGCACTCCAAACCCGTAATCCCCCATTTATTATTTTTATGATCTGAATTCTTACAACAAAAAATGACAACCTAGTGCTTAAGTCTGCCTCCTTTCCTCCAACCCAAAATGAGTGTTCTAGAAATGTCTTATTATAGCTCAGTGATCCCAGCTTATCCCCACCCTAAATATTTCTGATTTGGAATTCTGGTATCTGAAAACCTAAAAAATCTCTCTTAAGATATGGACATGAGTCAAATTGTGTTTATTTCTAGGGGAGAGGGTAGGAAGGGGAAAAAAATCAAGTCTTTGGTTAGTAAAATAGGTGGTTTCTTTTTCCAAAGGAAAATGCACATGAATGACAAAAACAGAGCTTCTGAAGCATTTATGGATGTAGAAGAATAAGCATTGCGCAGAGTAAAAAATATATCTATAATTTAACAATCATATGTTCTTCCTCAGCAGTTTTGACTCACCCACATATGAAATCTTTTAAGGATTAGGGGAGAAGACGTCTTTTCTTGGCAGCTCAAAAAATTTTTTTTAAATCAGGAATAATTTAAGAACATTATATATTATATATTTATGTATAAAGATATTATGTTACGTGGAGAGAAAGAAAGAAACGGGGTGAATTCCTGGTTCCGGGAAGCAGAATTTCAGTCGAGGAAATCAGCATTGAAGAGGAACGGGAGGGCTGCAGGAAGGTGTCTGCGGCCCCCGGGGCCGCTTCTGCCCTTTCTGCGGCTCCTGGGGCAGTTCTCGCTCCTGGGGCTGGTTTGCTGCCGCCGCTCTTCCTGCTCCTGGTGCAGTTCTTGCTGTTGCTGCTCCTGTTTTTCCTGCTTCTGGTCTCCCCCCCCACCGCCTCTCCCCCATGAAATGGGCTGAAAACACCCGTTTCTCTCTAGGGGGGACCGAGATTAAGAAAGGATTAAAGCGATTCACTGTGGAGGGGAGGGGGGCGAAACGAGACGGGGGGGCCTCAGCAGCCGCCGGCCGGGGCGTGCGGGGGGAACTGGGGCGGTCTGGAAGGGAGGTCCTGCCGCTGCTGCTGCGGTTTCTGCCTCGTCCCCTCTCTGCGGCTCCGGGGGTTTTTTTCCCTCATGAGACCCGGGGGCGGTTTGTTCGGTTTCTCAGTTCGATTCTCCGCAGGAAGAAAAACACAAAAAAACAAACAAACGAAAAAACAAAACAAAAACAAGAAAACCAACACTGCGATTATTCTAATGGAGAAATGCCCCCCTTTCTTTCTTTTCTGCCCCCCGAAAAATTTAAATAATTATTTACAGTTTTTCTCCTCACGGTTCCTGGGCCGCCGCAGCCGCCGTCTCTCCTGGCCCCGTAGTCAGTGCCGTCTTCGCCGCGGCCTTCTCCTTCCTCTTCGGTTTCTCGTCTTCCTCCTCCTCCTCCTCTGATGTCTCCACCGCCACCGCCTCCCGGTGCCCGGTCTCCCCGCAGCCGCCGCCGACTCCTCCTCAGGACCGAGCCGAGTGAAATGACAACCAGCTGGAAAGACCAAGAGACACTTCCGGTTCGGGGAGGGAGGGGCGGGGCGCCTCGCGAAGCCCCGCCCGCCCACCAAAAGACCAATCCGTGAGCGGGTTCTGTGGTGACCACACCCCCTCCTTATCTGGGCCCCGCCCAAAAAGGTCGAAAAGATACCTCCGGTGACGCCCAAGCAAACTGGAACCCGCCCATTAAGGTCATTAGATTGGATTCCCCTCCCCCACCCTCTCAGTAAACTCGACCCGTCGCCATCTTAGGTGAGGGCAAAGGAACCCATTGCTGATTCTCTTCCCTGACTGGGAGGCGACTGAAGAAGAGCGAGCTGAGTGGGAGAGACCTAGACCCCTCTGCCACGGGAGGCATGAAGGCGGGGTGTTAGGGAACTGAACCGACGACCTGCGAAAAGCTGGGGAGCGGCGTTGCCCACAGTCAAGGTGGCGCCCCGGGCGTCACGTGCGCCAGTCCCGGCTCCGCCCCGGAGGGCTCTGGAAGGCGAGGCGGTGCCTGCCCTGCCTGCCCTGCCTGCGCAGCTGGAAAGGTCAGAGCTGCAACCCAGCTGTGGCGAGAGCTGCGTTTCTTCTGGCCTCGGCCGTAGGCGCGTGACAGGGCAGGGCCTGGCCGGGCGTGTGGCTTCCTTGACTGCGGTTGACCCGGAGGCCCGGCACCTTGCGCTGCGGGCCCCGCCTCCTTGGCCGAGGGAGTTTGGATGACTTGCACAGTAGCGGTGGAGGGTGGGCTGCCTCTTGGTTCCGAGGGGAAGTGATCCCAGCCTGGGCCCGGACCGCACCTTATCCCGGTTTAGGAAGGGACCCGGGGTGTCTGCCCCGTTATTTTACAGAAAAGTTGATGGACTTGTCCCGGGGCTTGGGATGGCAGATTTAGAACCGGAAGGGACTGTGCCCGTGAACTAAGACCCATCTCTCCTTCACCCCTCGGAAAACCTTAAGAAATTTGCCCGAGGTTCCAGACGTGCTGGACATCACGGCCGAGGTTTAAAATCATTGTCAAAGCCAAACCCTCCTTTGCCCGATCCCGAGCCGGGCCCAGCGAGGAAGGTGACCCTGCTCAAGGTCACAGAACTCGCCTCCTCGCTCTTCAGTGCCGCTTCCTAATGGCTCGCGGTACGTTTTTGCCAGGCTTTCAAAATGCTGGTTTATGTTCCTAGGACAATACAGTATTAGAGATAAAAAGGGGTGCGAAAGATCACCTTGGGCGGGGGGAGGAGGGGGAAGGTCTGATGAGGAAAAAAGGCCTCTGCATCATTCCCCCTTGTTCATGGAGGTACAGAGGAGCAGATTTGGAATTTAAACCCGTGTCCTGTTGGCATCTTCTACCTTGGTTTTATCCGATACTCGGTTGTTATTGAAGCGGATCCAAGCGTAAAGCCAGTTTTTAGAGTATAAGGGCATAATGGTGCAGTGGACCTTAGAAGGGATCATGTAGTCCAAATCCCTCCTTTTGTGTTGAAGGAAGCTGAAAGCCGGAGAAGGAGGTGATTTCTCTAAGGTTTCACAGCTAATTTCACAGCAAACCTCGTTCTAGAGTCTAGGTCTGGTGGCTCCTACCTTGTTCCAGTGCTCTACTTTAAAATTATAGTCTAAGGCTAATTTAGACAAAATATATAAACACATGTTTGGGGTCGATTGGGTTAGAGGCAACAGAACCAAAGATAATACCAGAAATTAAAACACCAACTCCTGGTCTGTAACGCCCTTATGTAAAAGTTATTTAAAAAACAATAGGTCTTTCTTAGATCAACTACAAATTCAACCTACTTAACTCAATGGGAGGCCTAACTTCTGCTTGCCGCCCCATTGCTCCATATAGTGTAGGGGCCAGACCTTATCTACTCTTTCGAATTTCTCAAGTCCTAGCTTATTAGCATAAAGCATTAGTGTCTTTTTAAAAATATCCCATCCTCATCTTCTGGAATACTTACTGCCCAGAAACTGGTAGATCACGGTCAGTGAACAAATACGTTTACGCGGATAAAGCCCCATGCCACGGTGACTTAACTCTCCTTAGTAGATGTGGGGTATTCTTTTCCAAAGAACCAGATCTAGTTTTTCAAGGTCTGCCAGATCACCTTAAATGTTCCTTAGTTCATTCCCATCAGGCACTGGGATACCTTATGCTAATTAAGAATATACCTAAAAAGCATCAGTCATCTTGGTTTGTATGAAACTAATTTTATGTAAAAATATTCAAATCAGAATATTGCTTTGGAGTTGGTAGGTCAGGCACTTTCTGTTACAGAATTATAGGACTTAGTGTTCTTGGTGTGAGTCTTAACTGGAATGCAATAGTCAGAGGACAGGTCTGGGCAGGTATTCGGTCCACCCCCCCACCCCCCCCTTAGAGAGTACTGCTAGTTGGTGGCCTTCTCTGGAAATGTTAATAAGCCTTCTGATGCATCTGTAAAGCCTATTTTAAAGCAAGGGTTCTTAAACTTTTTTGTACTGTGGGCCTCTTTCACAGTCTGGTAAAGTCTAAGGACTCTGTAGAATGATGTTTTTAAAAGCATAAAATAAAATACATAGAATTATAAAAGAAACAAGGGTTAACGAAAATTAAAATGTAACTTTTTTTCTATCCAAGTTCACATTCCCCCTCCCTTGAAATCTATCAACAAATCCAAGATCATAAGTAAAGATTGTTTGTGAGTCATTTCAGTTGTGTCCAATTCTTCATGACCCCATTTGGATTTTTCTTGGCAAACTTATTGGAGTGGTTTGCCATTTCCTTCTCCAGTTCATTTTGAAGATGAAGAAACTGAGGCAAAGAGGGTTAAGTGTTTTGCCCAGGGTCATCTTTATTTCAAAGCAACTAGCAACACATTATCAATTCTTCCAGTCCAATATTTTTCCAAATAGAACAGTCACTTCTTAGTGTTTGAGATGGGGAAGAAAGGTGCTAGAACGATTGAGTTACTTCTCAGGCATCATCCGTTCCAAGGTTATTGGGAAGTTTTAAACCATAGTACAGTATGGTAGGTAATTAAGGAACAGGATACAGGCATTTTGAAACCAAGTACAGATAGTGCATTCTATTAAACTACTCCTCTGGCATACATCCTGTTTTAGTATTTGAAACTATACATGTTTACTTAGGAAGGACCATTGTTTGCCAGCACTTAATTACTAGGTTACATTTTTTCCTTTTGTTTGCTATTTTGCAATCTTTGCAAGCTCTCTTAGTTTTAAACATTATTTCTGCCCCCCAACTTTCCCAGTTACTGTATTATTATTAATGTAGGTTCACAATTAACAAGCCTTTTTGTGAATGCAGCTCCTCTGCTGAAATGTATCTGAATAAATGGTCTGGAAGGGACTAAGACCTAGGCATGCTTCATTTAAATTCAGGCACATCTTGGCAAAGCCTTAAGGTAAGCAAAGACTTAGATCAGCTAGAACACTAGGAGTATAACTTCCAAACAATGACGTTAATCTCCCAAGATGACATGTCCTTGACTGGTTCCAGCCACCTGTACTGGACTGGACTGGACTGTTGACACAGATTGCTCTTTTCTGTTTGGATTGGATACACTTCACTTCCTGTTTTAAAAGTATGGCAAAGTGATGTGACTGAATAGCTGCTTGTTGAAAGTACACCCTATAGGAGGGCATACCAAATTATTTCCATCTTTAACATGTATAAAATCTACGACAACAATAAAAGGTATAAAATTATCTGAGTTAAGTTGTCTAAGTAGTGATGAACACCAGTGGAAGAAGGCATACAACCATGCATACTAGGTCTGCTACCTGCTGATGTTATGTATTCCCCATTGTGCCTTTGTTGCCTCACATCAATGGTCTTTTAATAACTGTATCATACTCTACTCAGAAGTTGTTTCAAACCATCTCTTCCTTTCTCAAGTCATGGTAATTTGTGCAGGTATACTGCCCTCTCACCTGAGAGTGTGCTCAGCGGAAAACTTTGACTCAGACTTCATTGAAAAAAATAAGCCCATCATTTAGTAGCTCCTTCTCTTCCTCAATTCTACATTTCAAATCACCTCAGCAATTATCTCCCATCCTCTCTTACTTTGCTGTTGTCATTGAAGATTAAGTGGCCCCTCTGGATAATGTTAAGAACTTGGGCTATTGATCCCATCTCCTCCTCTATCCTCCCTTACCCCTTTAATCATCCTCTTGCTCTCCCTAATTTTTAACCTCTATTACCTATTGTCATCTCTGCTGTATTCAAATATTCTTGTCCGTTCTAAAAAAACCAACAACAAAACCCCTTTCATTTGGCTCTAACATTATCTGAAAGCTTAAGCTATCATTCTGTATCCTTTTTCCAATCAAACTTTTTTTAATTTTTTTATTATTTATTTATGTGAGGCAGTTGGGGTTGTGACTTGCCCAGAGTCACACAGCTTGTGAAGTGTCATATGTCTGATTTGTTGGATTTGGACTCAGGTCCTACTGACTCCAGGACCAGAGCTCTATCCACTGCACCACCTAGCTGCCACCCAACTAAACTTTTAAGAAAAGCAGTCTACCTTCATTGCCTCATTGTTTGCATCCATATACTTCTCAAACCTTTGCAAACTGGCTTCTATCCCCACTACTAATCTAAAACTATTTTCTGCAAGGTCATCAATGATTCCTTTTTGCTAAATCCAATGACCTTTCTTCAGTCCTTTTTCTTGGTATATCATAGTAGCTTAATAATTAATTGAATAATTAATTGACCTCAGGAAGAAGAGAACCATTACTTCTCTGGGCCTCATTTGTAAAATGAGAGATTTGAACTAGATGTGTTCTGATATTCCAGTTCTAAAATCCTATTATTTTATTGAAATAATTCAAAGAAAAGTAATAGTTTTAAAAGAAGCAAATAATCTACGAGATATAACACTGTATTTAGAGTAGTGAGATATGGGTCCTATGACTAATATGGCCATTGCTCAAATCTTCATCATAGGTAAATTACTGAATCTATCTCTACTACATTTCCCTGTAACTGACGCTCTGAACCAAGCCAGAAACTTTTTATAACAACACCTTATAAATCAGTTTTAATCAGACACAAACATGTAAGATTTCCTAAAAATATTTGTAGCAAGACAATGTTATTTAGAAGCTAAAATGCCCAATTTGTCTTCAGGAAGACCTGAGTCTGAATCCTATCTCAGATGCTAACGTTGTGACCCTGGTCAAGACACTTTACCTCCGTCTTAGGTTTCTCATGTGTAAAATGGAATAATAAGAAAACATGCCTTACAAGGTTGTTGGGAGGACCAAAAGTGATCATGTATGTAAAGTGCTTTGCAAACTTGAGTGGGGTATATGATTGCTGGTTATTATTGTAACGCCTAGCATTAACAGTAGTGCCGGCATAACTTTGAGTTCTGTTCCATTAAGTAAAAATTTCAGAAAGAAAGGGCGCCTGTAAGTTTCTAAGCTGCAAAGTATACGAATCATTTGACAAGTCTTTCAACCTTTTCTATCCCCCTTTCACATCCCTCTGCTGATAAGAATAGGCAACAATATTCAAGAGTCCTTGTATGGTATTAGCATTGTAGAAATCATTAGACCAGCATATCCTGCAACACAAAACACCAGGGAGTAATTTCTGCTGCCAGACCCCAGCATCAAAAGGGTCTGGTCTTCTTTGTTTCTTGGTTCCTCCGTAGATACTTTTCCCTCATCCTTTATGCTACTAACCCTCAGGATTAAATTCTGGGATGAGTGCTGGAGGGAGGTCTCTAATGGTATACCATAGTATCTGTAATAGAAAGAACATTAGAACTAGAATTTATAGTTTAACACTGTGAGGTTGTGATACATATGGAAATAACTATTGGACAAAATAGAATCATAGAATCTAAGAATCTATAGAGATAACTTAAAGTGACCTCACAGGCCTCCTAGTCAAACACTTATTTTATAACTGAGGCCTTAGAAAGAGGAGTGACTTGCCCCAGGTCACACGGGTAGTTAAGAGATTAGAGATAAACCTAGCCAATGTGTTTAGAGCAATCAATCAACCAATATGTATTTACTAAATGCTTACTGCGTGCTTGGCACTATACTAAAACACGGTGGATACAAATAAAAAGCAAAAGTAGGCTAATGTTTGGACTTGGGATCTGTGAACTTGTTTTTTA